CACAGGAATAATGCCAGGCTCCCTGAGCCATGGATGAACAAATGCCTAGGAAGTCCTTGACACAGCAAAGTTAGAAGATGCTGTCTATTTCGTACATGTATGTACATCGTTACAGCTATTGATTTTTATGAACAACCTTATTTGAATTAGGCACCTGTATAGTTGCATTTTGATATCACCACTTAGCAAATGTCTCATATTTGACAGGTCTTCCTTAGAACTCTGCCATTCTGCCAACCTTAGAAGGCTTGTCTGTCCTCCTCCCTGCTCAGGTCAAGCTTTGAAGATACCTCAGGCTTTTCTCCCCTCACACTGCACATCATCCCATCAAAGAAGCCCGTTAAGCAGGTATGGAGCTATAAGTGGAGTCTGTTGTGTTGACTGCCCCATGATGACAATTCACTTGTTCCCCTGTGTTGCCATAGCCCCCAAACTGGTTTTCCTACTTCCTCATCCAGGGATGACCAGATCCTCTTCCTTCTGGAATCGCCTCTCTTATTCATCTCCCTCATTCAGTTTTCTATACCTACACTGGGCTTCTTGATATGCCTGGAATATCCTAGCTGGAGGCCTTCCCTCTGGCCTTCCCTCAGTTATCTCCCCTACCCCACACTGCTTATTCTCCTACCTGCATTAAACAACTTGAATTAAGTTCCTTTTTCTCCCTACCGCCAATCTTGTAGTCTTCCCTTCTTCCTGCCACATGAACCAACCTCTTAGCTGGCTTTTTTTTGTCTTTTACATGCATTAATTTCAAAAATATTTTTGCAATGTCCTTATAGATTATACAGCAAACATTTGTAATCTGAAAAAAATATCCTCAATCCAAATGCTTCAGAGCCCAAATCTTTGTTGAATGTGGTAGATTTGGGCACAGGGGGTGGATTTTTTAAATTTCAAGTTTTGCAGAGTAGAGTCACCAAACTGATAAAACCATGCAAATGTCTGGAATCTGCAAATATCTGAAATATGAAACACTTCTGTTTCCAATCATTGGACAAGGGACATGCCACTCTACATTACTGCCCAGAATCCACTTTCAGAATGTAAAATTCAAGAGAGCAAGATACTATTTCTTTTCATCACTCATGGTTAGCAGTGTCTGAAAAGGTCCTGATACCCAGTTAAGTGCTCGGCTAATATTCTTAATGGGATGAATATCACTTAGTCAGTATTTCTTCTCTTGAATAAAGGGCCCAGGTGGCGTATTGGAGAAACGTATGAGTAATAGAGAGCAATAAAGCCCTTCCTGTGCCTTTGGTTAAGCCATAATTTTAATATTAAACCAACAAGTAATTTGGTAGAAATCCAGGAATAATGGGGCTTTGTTCAGAATACTTTACACACACACACACACACACACACACACACACACACCACACACTCCTCATGCCTATAGTCACAGCCTAGCTACTGCTGACAATTGGTAGTTTTGGGGTACATGAATGAGACAGGAAAAGATTGATATGAAGCATACAAGCTTTCGTACAGCCCTTTCATTCACATACATCAAAGAGGTGTTACTCATGAGATCATTCCTGCTGTCTTTTGTAAACTCATCTAAAAAGTTGCACAAATCCACCATTTTTGGATAAGACCATAGAACTGATTTCGTGTTCCATTTAATTATGATGTTATGTTAAAGAATTATGAATTAAAAAAAAAATTCTAAATGTCAACATGGTCGTCTTCCCCTCTAGAAGACACACCCACTCTTCAAAGTGGCCAGGCATGCAATGAAACAAAGAAAAGAAGACACCAGAGTCTGCTTTGTCTCTTTCACTGAACAGCACCCGACACCGGATGTTTCCTTCGGGCTTGACTCTGTTCACATTACACACTGGCTGTACCATCTCCTTTCACTCCATTAACTTGAGGAAGGAAAATATTAGCTTTTTCAATTATCTTTAGTTTCCCCTTAAATTTTAAGTATACTAAGTTTTAACTATTTCATCTGTACACTAAGCAGTGATCCAGATAAATTTATTTAGGCCAAAGAGTAACTCTACAAGTCACTTTGAAAAATGGTTTGTTTAGTTAAAAAAAAATCTGTAAAAATGTAAAAATGCAAGCCAGATGTGATGGTGCATGCCTTTAATCCCAGCACTCAGGGAGGCAGAGGCAGGCAGGTTGCTGTGAGTGTCATTTTGGTTAAATAAAAGACATGACTCAGAAATTTTCTGTTCTCTCTCAGACTAGATACAAACAAAGTTAACATTTACACCTAGCAGTGAAAAGAATCCACGTTTTAATACTGTTAGTTAATTGTTGTGGGACCGTGGGTGAAGAGGTGTAAAGAGAGCAATAAAGAGACGGGGTAGAGTTGGAGGAATGCTGAGGAATCTGACTAGTTTTCAGAAAGTCTAGTCCACTTTAATCCAGAAACTTATGGGTTAGTGGCAGGAGTTTGTACCCAAAATGATTTCATGATCACCAGGTAAAATGAATATATGTGTATCTCCTGCAAGTATTACAAAATGTATAAAATATTAAAGATGGAAATATATACAATGAGGGGGGTTGGGGAGAAATTTTTAAAATAAGTGCTTTAAAAGGATGAGAGTGTATTCAGAAATAACAAAAAGTAACTGCATGTTTTGGGAAAGGAGGAAAAGGCAGAGGAGTGCCTGACCAGATGTTTATAAACTGCTGTTAAGAGGCAAACAAAATTCTTGCTATGCCTAGATTATACAATTTATCGGGAGTGCGCAGTCTTCTCTGTTCAGCAGCCCTGATAACGACACTAATAGCTTAATTACAGCTTTCTGCTTAAGGAGATAAACAAGGCTGTTTGCCTTTTCTCTTCCTTTAAATCAGGGGTTACAATTACTTTTAAATGTGGTGGAAAGGCACATCTGCGAGTGTATCTAGTTTGTTAAGAAAGCAACCAGAAACCAGCTGGAAAGTAAAGAAAGCCCCAGGAGTGAGCTGGCGGCCTGAAATGAGAGAGGGGATGTGGGAAAAGTCCCACTGGAGCGGAAGGCATGAGAAGCACAGCAAACAGGTGACAGTGATAATGTGTGTGTTGGGGGGGGGGTGTTCAGGAGCTGAAAAGTTTTTGGAGTATGGGTCTTCCACATTTCTCCCTGGGATTCCCTCACAGAAACCACAGGAACACTCCTGTCTTTGCTGTCCCTCTGGCAGTCATATGTCTGCCTCCCTGTCCTTCACTTCAGCACCATGGAGAGAGGACAGCTCCTCAGTGTCCTTACAGAACTGTGGCTCCCGCCTCCTTCAGCATTTCTTGTCACTGTTTCTTTAGGGGTACATTAAGAAAGACACGAGTGGGGGGGGCGGGGGGGTCTATGTTTGGATTGTTTATTCCCTGGTTAAATGAAGACATGTTCCGACTGAACTAAACTTTCAGTTGGACTCCGGAGCAATTTAAGCAGAATAAATGATTAAGTCATTGGTTTGAATCTGGCTGAACGTAATTGAGTAGTGGCTGAAACTTGATACTCTTCTTTAGTGCTTTATTTCATTAGGTGTAACCCTACGAGGAGGGTAAGCAATCTTCACTAACTGTAGTTTAGTTCATTTTTCCCCCTACCAAATTGAGGACACCAAAAATTCCTAACAACGTTAGCCGGAGGAAACAGTGCTGGTCCTAAAGGAAGCCCTTCCCAGTTCTTTGGAAGACCTGTCAGAAACACGTGGAAGACGCAAGCAGGGATTCCCAAAAGACCACCAGGAACCACTCCAGCATGGTGCAAACAGTGACCAATGCTCCACAGCCAAGGTCTCCCTCCTCCAATTCCAAAGCCAGAGCCAACTGTTTAGGAGCTGGCCATCTGACACATTGTTTAAAGAGTCAAACCACTAAGAACAAAACACATTTAGTTACTCTGGCCCATTCAGTTCCCATTTTTTTTTAGCCAGAAAAAGTTGCTTGCCCAGTGAATTTTTTTTTTCTTCCCTAGGCAACAGTCTTGGTCTCAACCCTTTGCTTCAGAGCGCGCGCACACCCACGCCCACGCCCATTCAGTTCTTTAATTTTTTGTTAAAAGTGTTTTCTGCTTTTCAAAACTTATTTTGAAACTGAGTCTTAGGAGAAAAGCTCTCACTCTTTCTGCCTGGAGAAAGGCAGCATGGAGAGGAAGAAACACAGGTAGGGCGGAGGGTGAGGGTTGGGAGCCATCCAGAAGAAGCGTTCTGTCAAGTTAGTGGTGAGCAACTTCTTCAGAGAGAGCAACTCCACTGTGAGTTTGGAGTGAGGCAGAAACAGACAGGCATTTTCTTTTTCTTTTTTCTTTTTTATTATTAAACGACTGTCTGCCTGAGTGCACACATCTAAAGCGTGGTAACTTTCTGTCCCCTTCATTTACCCTTCTGCTCCCTCCCTTTTCCTCTCTCCTTCCTCCCCGATTTCCCCTCAGTCCTCTCCTTCCTCCTCTCCCTCCTCTGCCCGACTCATCCCTTTCACTTAATTCTATCTGGGCCACTCGGAACAGCATGGAATCACCCAACTGCATGCTGTGGACCACCGAGGTAGCTTTCCAACCGCTGTGCCCGGGTCAGCCCCGCCCCTCCCCCCTCCCCACAGCAGTGCGGTGGCAGCCTCCAGGCAAAAATCACTGGCGTTTGAATGTCACCAACAAGTTCCACCCTGTAGTAGCCCTGCCAGAGTCAGCCTCACCCAGGAAGCCCTGCCGTTCCCTCCGCCCACAGCCGCGCGCCATCCCCACCCCGCCTGGTGATTCTTGGGGTCATTGTTACCACGGACACTTTTCTTCTTGGAAGGGGGAAGCCCGCGTGGGTGTCACTGGTTGGATGGGAGGCTCTACGCGCTACCCTCCCCCACCTCTGCAATACACACACTCACACACGCCCTCCCCGCGCGGGCGACACAAAGGGAGCGAGTGGAGAGCTGGGCGCCCACAGGACAGGAGGGCGCAGAGGAAGGGGGCACCAGGGAGGGGCGGGGGCTAATCCGGCCGGGGAGGAAGGGAGGGAAGGAAGCAGGTGCCTGACACCCAGAGGAAGGCGAGGGGTGTCCTTACCTGCCCCCAGGTTAAAGGAGATCCTGGCCTCTGCGAGATATGGCGTGTCGCTCTTGGAGCGGACTCTTCTGATGGGCCGCCGGTCTATGTCATCCTCCGAAGAAGCCGCCATTAATGTGGGAGGCAGGAGCAGGGTCGCCCGGCGAGCTGAGAGGAGAAGGAGATGGAGAGAGGGGGAGGGAGAGAGGCGGAAAGGGGGAGGAGGGGAGTGGAGGAGGCTCACACACATAGAAAGGGGGAGGGGAGGGGAAAGGAAAGAAGGGGAAGGGGGCAGGGAGGGAGGGGGAGAGAGGGAAAGAGGGGAAAAAGGAGAAAGAGAAAGAATGAGAGAAAGAGAGCAGAGAAAAGGGGGAAGGGAGAGAAAGAAAATCCGTTAAGGATTGGTGGACTGGAGCAAGATCAGGTTAGCCCTGGTCTGCGCCCAGGGCTCCCCTTAATTCCTTTCCCAGAGCTGGGCCAAGGGGTCAGTGCTCTGGACCAACACCCCGCCTTCTGCCGCAGCCCTGTTTCAGCCGCTGGCACAGATAGACTAATGCGAATAGGAAGACTCCAAAGCCAAGATGCCCAGTCAGCACTGTGCCCTCTCCCGCCAAATATGCTTCCTCGCCTTTCAGGAGCAGGCAAATACAGTCTGCACAAACCCAGGAGACTCTACAGCCTGAGGCTGCTGCAGGACACAGAGCCCAGCTCTTACTCTCCTGATGCCACTCCTGGAGCCACTCACTCTTGCCCCTTGGCCTGGGGACCAGGGCACCTACCATTTCCAGAACAAGCCCTCTGTTCTATCTGTCGCAACCAGAAGTCCAAATAAAGTTCAAAAATAGATATGGCATCTTCAGAAGCTCCCTTATCTGCCCTTACAGTTTAGGGGTGGGGTGTGGAGGGAGAGTGGTAGGATGGGTTTTATAGTTGATATTTTCAGTGTAGACCAGGCTTATTCACAGAACCGATGGCCTTCATCTACGAAGTTGTAGGATGTGTTTATCTCTATCAGATACCTACTTCTGTGATCCTTCAACTTTTTCTCTCAGTCACATATAATGTTTGCTCCCGACTCTCTTCAGCAGCTCTGCGCCATTGTTCCTGAAGGAGAGCTAGCAATCAAAGGAGCTTGGATTCCTTTGAACATTTGTACTGCCTGACTTCAACACTCCACAGAAACACAGCACAAGAACCAGAAGGCTTTCTGGGGGGTGTGGCACCTGTTTGATGCCACTACTGAAACTACTGATGGACTAAACTCCTTTATGTTTGCTTTTCTGAATCTTCTGACACTATCTTTTTTTTTCCTGCCCTGATGTCACTACTCTTCTGTCTGATAAAGTGCCCTCCTCCAGTAGGTGGATCACCTGACATCCTTGGCCCAAAGGTGGGCTCTGTGTGGCTTCACACCCTGTGGTCTATCAGCGCAAGCTCTTCAGTTCCCTCTCTTTTGATATTCGCACCCCTCTGGGATCACGTCTCTCTCCACTGGTCTCTTGCCTTCCCTTATCACTGTTACTCTTGGCCTTTCTCTTCCTCTTCCACAGTCTCTGTGATTCTGCTTGACCTTCCTATGGAACTGTCATCCATCCCCCAAGATTCCCATTTGTCTTACTCCTGGTTCCCTTCTTTCATTCCACCTACTGCTTCCTAACTTAACCTTGTAACCAAGGTCATTGTAGAAGGCCCCATCTTTCCAGCAGTTAAATTTTTTTTTCTTGATCTCTTTGAGATATTTCATAATTCATCTTCCTTGAAATTATCTCTTCCTGAGCTCTTCCAGTACTGAACCACCTCCCTCACCACTTGATTGCTGAGCGTCAGCCAATTCTCTGCAAGCTGGTCTAAAGTTGCTTATCCTGACACTTGCTGCCTGACCCTACCCCCATCTCAAACATAACTTCAACCTATCACTGTCCCTTTCTCTCTCACTGTTTCCCTGGAGTCAGTCTACTTGGACTGACTCATTTTGCATATATCTGTGCCAGTGTTAATGTGCTACACTACAAATCTCTCCAAACTTTCCATGTGTTTCTATGATAAGCCTTACTGCCCTGGTTTTTGTCCTGTTGCTGCAATAAAACACTGACCAAAAGTAACTCTGAGGAGGACAAGAGTCTGTCCTTCTGGCATCCAGGGAAAACAGGGCAGGAACCCAAAGGCAGGAATTGAAGCAGGGACCATGTAGGAACTTTGTTTACTGGCTTGCCTCCAAACTCACTTTCAGTTATGTTACCAAGAGTGCATGACTAGGGGTAATGTCACCCATGGTAGGCTAAGCCCTTCCCCATCAACTAGAGAGGATGGCATTCAAGAAAATGCCCCCCTCCCCGGCCAAGCTAATGGAGGCAACTCTTCAATTGAGCTTCCTTTTCCCCTAGGTGCCTCTAGTTTGTGTCAGCAGCTTCAATTTAACCAACAGCTTAAATACTCAAAAGACACTTATCAATGAAAGAAGGGCAAGAAAGAGTGAGGACAAGGAAAAGACAAAAATGAATGAAGGAACATTAAGTAAGTAATGAGTGGCTGAGTTGGGGAGCAAGTCAGTGTTCTCCCTGAATTTGGATTCTATGCCTTCAGCGAGTACAGTGTTCACAGGGCTTTGGTTCCAGGGTTCATCATGGCTACCAAAAGCCTAGAATGTTTAAGAGTATGTAAAATATCCACACGTCCTTCTGTAGATCATTACAGTTCCTTTTTAATACTTTAACATAGGATTTATGTAAATAGCCGTCACATGATATTGCATGGGGAATTATGACAAGAGCAAATAGTCTTTGCGGATATACAGTACAGATGCAATTTCTCCAGCTGAATTTAAGGATGTAGCGTAGATATAGGTGGCCAGTTGATTTGCTAATTGCATATATTTGGCTACTGCATTCACTTTTCTATATCTATCAATCTATCTGTATCTATTTACCTATCTATCATCTATCTACCTACCTACCTACCTACTCACCTATGTATTTATGTATTTGAAACAGAATCTTGTTCTGGAGCTCAGGCTGGCCCTAGACTCACCCTATTGCTCACTCTGGCTTTGAACTCTCTATCCTCCTAACCTCAGCTTTCTGGTTGCTAGGGTTACCGGTATACACCACTATGCCTTGCTCTAGCCACAGTTTAAAAGACTAGCTGGTTGTTTGAAAACTAGCTAGTTATAGATTTCCTGACATTTCTTTTAATTCCACATATTTATATATAAAAATATGTGTGAAAAATTTCCATCTCTTAGTCATTTAATACTTTAGATGGCAATTAAGAACTAATGCTACTAATATTTTTTGCTTTACTTTTCTTCATAGATGTTCAAGTTATTATGATTATTATGATAATGATGAGTATTATTATTGGTGAGGTCTGGCCATATAGCCCTAGTTTGCCTAAAAATTTCTTAGGTGTATCAGGGTGGCCTTGAACCTGCAGTATTTCTCCTGCATCTGCATCCTGCATGCTGGGATTACAGGTGCTACCAACTGGCTACATACATTTTCATAAAGTTTACTACAGGCTATTCTGCTATTGAATACTCTTAATTAAAGTGGTAGCAAAATACTATTGAATTCGGTTATTGTATTTCATTTGTGATTGTTATCTTCCATTTCTTGCTTTCCTAATATGCTCTCTTCTGTCTTTCACTGTTTTTTTTTTTATTTTTACACGTTCTTTCTTGCATCTTTCTCTAGATCTAAACATTCTCTTACAGAGTCAATTTCTTTTTCTGCATTCCCTCTCATCTTATATGAAGAATTCATTGTTATATTGTTACAATATTTCCAAATTCTTTATTTCATATTCATAACTTCTTTTCATGAAATATTTGACTGAGGGGCGTCAGAAGAATTCTGCTGTGGAAACCAAAAGTGGTGGATCCCACTCAAGGACTAGAATTAGCTAACTAAATAACACTGGATGATGGGTAGAAAACAGTCACATCACTTGTAAAAGTTCACGGTTCAGATCACACGCAAACATAAAAACACCCTGTCCAGTTCCAACACTGCATAGTTATTTGTAGCTATTGTATTACTCTCCTGGTTAGATTATATACTTTTATCAACTTATTACAAGCCAGAGTCATTTAGGAAGAGAAAAACTCGAGAAAACTCTTCCTTTAGAATGACCCATAGGTAAATCTATAGGAAATTTTCTTTTATTTATTAATGTATTATTTATTACAATGTATTCACTTTGTATCTCAGCTGTAGCCCCCTCCTTCATCTCGTCCCAGTCCTTCTTCTCCCTCCTTCTTCTCCCCCTGTGCCCTTCCCCTAGTCCACTGATAGGGACGATCCTCCTCCCTTGCTATCTTACCCTAGCCTATCAGGTCTCATCAGGACTGGCTGCTTCCTCATGCTCTGTGGTCTGGCAAGGCTGCCCCCCAAAGGAGGAGAAAGGGACCAAAGAGCTCGCCATCGAGTCCATGTCAGAGACAATCCCTGCTCCCATTACTAGGGGACCTACATGGAGCCTGAGCGACCTATGGTCTACATCTGAGGAGGGGGGTCTCGGTCCTTGGTTCACACACTGGTCTCTACAGGACCCCCTGAGCACAGATTTTTTGGCTCTGTTGGTCTCCTTGTTGAGCTCCTCTTTCCTGGGAACTTTCTTGATTGAGGACCTAAACCACTAAAGGCAGTGTCACCCCTGGGTAGGTGGTCCTGTAAGAAAGCCGGGTGAGCAAGCCATGAGGTGCAAGCCAATAAGCAGCACTCCTCCATGGCCTCTTCTTCAGTTCTTGCAACCAGGTTCCTTCTTGTCTGGCTTCCCTCGAGGGATTATAGTTTGGCATATATGAAATCAAATAAACACTTTCATGTCCATGCTGCTTTTGAACATGGTCTTTATTGCAGCAACAAACAGCAGGCTAGGAAAGTTATTCTGATATTTTCCATAAAAAAATCTTTAGCACCTCCTGTGTCTCTCAGTCTTAGAGACATTTCCCTTTGTTGTGTGATTATAAGTAATTTTATTTAGGAAATAACATGCTACCTGCTAGTCTCTCTCTTGATTCATAGTATTCACATGTATTTCACAGAACTGGTTTCTTTAGAATCTATTCCCACACACACACACACCCTGTACAGTTTCCATCATGTGACAATACCCACATGATTGTATGGAGACCTAATGTGGATGTAAGAATGTGCATCCAGAGAACT